GTTCCAGAGAAGGTATCGTTCTTTCTACTTATAATATGGGATGACCAGAATTTAATTCTGAACAACTTTAATTAAAATCTCAAGAACAAAAAATCATCTTATTATTTAGCAAATTGGCTTGAATGATCGTAGCCGTTCGTAGTCGAACCCAACCCTATTTTTAATGTCATCTATAATCAGGTCAGTATAGTATGGACATATGTTTCTCACCTAATTGTCTGGCATGTTCAAACACGAACTGTAGCGGTATGTTACACCAGCACAGCACATTAACATGTGAGATCATAGATTTTAACGCCCAATCAAATGCAAGATTTCGCGAACTGCCATTCGGAAACCGTTGCAAGCATTTTTACGTTCTTGGCACGCCTATATGACCCCGATTTGTATCCTAAAGTCTTCTATTTTATGCCAACTTTCTATTTCAAATCAGGTTTTATTTCAGGGTTGCATAATGCTGATCGGTACCCGATTTGCCTTCATTCGACCTGTGTTAGTTAGTGTTATTGAATAATTTTTATTTTTATTTGTTCATTTTTAGTGATTTAATAATGTTTATTTTTATTTTATTCAGAATCATGTAAATTTTAGGGAAAATAATAATAAAATCAATGATAAATAAATGAACTTTTCTGTATTAAATTGAAAATGCTAGTGTGTAAAAAATTTATGATTAATTTAATTTTGGCATGTGATGTTTTATTTATGCAGTTTTGAGGAATATTTTTCCTTTTAAAACACCGCACCATTTTTCATTATTTATAAATACAACTATCACTCGATAAGCGAAAATTTTTGAACGCAATTGAGATTGCGCAGCACACTCACTGCTCTTACGCATTCGCTGGCGCAAGACGCAAATAGAGGATCTTTTACAATCAGTTGAAATTTGTAAACCCAAAATTTCCCAGAAAAGTAATTTAGCGTAATACTAAATATTGTCGATTGCTTATAAGTCAGTAAGTGCTAACTCAGATAACACAAATCATATGACCATAACTTACCAATCAGATTGTTTTTCAACAGACAGACGCTTAAAATTTTAGTAGTATAGAAGATTTAGACTGGATCTAGTGCATTGTTGAGATTTTGTACCATCAGAAGGAAAATTTAAAAAGCATACATGTTTTTTTTTCATTTATAATTAGCAGTCTAGATATTTGGTTATTGTAGATTTTGAGATTCAAGCCAAGTTAGAGGTATGATCCGTGATATAAATGTGCGAACACAAGCTTTTTTTTGGCCTCGCATCACATGATGCATTATGCAATGACGAAACTTATGGCGAAGCCTCTAATGACTGATGAAACTTTGACAAACCAATTCAGCCAGTAATATAAACAAGATACAATCGATTCTCTTCCAACAAGCTTCTATATAATGGTCTCTGGATACACTAAACCTTAAATTGTTTCAAAAGGTTGTTATTTCACCATAAATTTCATGAAAACCCACTAGTTTTCATAACTGATACTGATATTTGATGAAAACATTGGTTAATGGTGAAATTATTAGCAATTAGTGAATTATTGACAAACTACTATCATAAAACAAAAAAATAACTTTGAAAAGATAATATTTTCATAAATAACTTACAAAAAAAAATAAAGAAAGAAAGAAAGAAATAAGATTAGTGCAAGTTTTGGGTTAGGACGTTAGTATTAGAGATTATAGTAACAAAAGGTGCTCATTATATGTAAAATTTCATTCTTATCATTTTTAATTAGTATACAAAGGCCAATTTAGACATGTATTTTTGTTTTTTTGCTTCTTTTCATGGGTTCAAATCTATGTCAGGCTGACCCGGAATAGTTAAAATTTGTGCCTTTTGAATGCACTTACTTTCGCAAAAAATTTTGACTATTCCAAATCAGCCTGACATGGATTCCAAACACGTGCAAAAGAAGAAAAAAGAAAGCAAAATACTCGAAAACCAATGCCGGGAACAAAATTTTACATATAATATAACAAGTGCCAATCCACTCTAATACCAATGCCTAATCTTAAAACTTCAATCTTTGCACACTTTGTTTATTTAAAAAATTAATTTCCTTTTATGGGAGTGACTAAAGCCTGGTGCGTTTATATGGTTTTATTTTTAATTAAAAATTAGGGTAAGGATTAATTAGGTATTAAGGCTAGGGTGTGTCTTATATGGAAAATTGTCTTCTCAACATTTTTTATTAATGCTTTGAGACATGTTTAAACACTCATTTCTTGTATTTTCGGCTTTTTATTGTTTTTGTCTCATCGGGTGAACAACTATCAAAAAATTTGCGACTTGAATGGCTGTTTGTCACGTGAATGCAACTGACGATCCCTCAGATTTCGTCATAGGTATCGTCAATTAATTTTGACAAATCGAATTTCAAGATCAGGTGTAACGTTTAAATCGAAAGCAAATAATAATAATAATAATAGTTCTAAATTTTATTTAGGAAACCACTTCTGCGGCCTAATTAAGGATGCTTCTTGTGATATTTTGCTAATAGAAGCCACGTCGTTCTAACCTTAATCCTAATTATAACGTGGCTTATTGGCTTTAAATTTACAAGCAACTTCTTATATGTATCTGGTATGTTTTGACTGTCATGTTACATCTGATCTTAATTTTGATTGGTTAAGAATTATGGAGGAAAATTTTGTCTAAAGTTCTTAAGATGACCTTTATAGATATATAATTGCATGTATTTTTAATTATTATAAACCATAAATGCCTAAAGCGTAGTGGAGGACTCAATCTTTACGTCAGACAAACATTACGCATTTCGATCATAAAAACATACTTTTTTGATACATCTGCATAAATAAAATAAAAGAAAATAATAGTAAGTATGAAGCAATATATAGTAATCAAAAAAAAAAAAAAACTTGAAAACATTGTCAGTTAAATTTACGATTATTTTCGGCTGCCGAAATTTTTTAGGATGTGGAAATATTTTCAGCTGCCGAAATTATTTACGGTTTAGGCAGCTTAAAATATTTTCGACAATTTTTATTTACAGCAAACCAAAAATAATTTAGGCACCCATCTATACACGCAACATCGCTTGCATACTGTATACGGCAAATATCTAATCTGTGAGGGTATTGCATACGGCAGTTTACAGTAAATAACTTAACAAATTTGTTGCTTATAGTAAAAATGGATACTTATTATAAATTTATTGTTCTTGAGTACTTTATACGTATTAATTTGTCATCAAATAATGTGCAAAGTGCGCATTTTATTATACATGTAGATACGCAATGTGCGTATGTTTACCATCTGAGTCTGTTATGTAAAAAAAAAACATACTAACATAACTCTATTCTAGTCAAAGATTTTTGAAAATTCTTTAGAATGTTGACTAACAAACATAGGAATAAGTAATTTGTATTAAAATGTAAAAACTAATGATGAAATTTCATCTATTTTGTATTAATTAATTATTTCAGAAAAAAAACTATATAAAAATAACCCAAAAAAGGAAAAGATTATTGAGTATTTCTCTTGAGACGTAATACGAGATAAAAACCAATTCGGAAAGCAATCATTAAACCGAAAAGTGCCAACTAATTGAAATAAATTTAGTTAAATTACTGAAATTGATTTTAAATATAAAAAGATTGAAGTATAAAAACTTTTTTAAAAAATTCTTACCGCCCACTTTTGAAGGTTGATTTCAGTGTAACCATAATCATCCAAGACATCTTTACCAGTAAAAGTTGAACTGTTTCCTGATTTATCACCATACAAACAAAAATATTTTACGGGATTATCGGAGATTTGCTTACAATTAAATGTCAAACCAATAAAATCATTTTGAATAATCCCTTCAAATGCCCATTTTTGATAGTCAATGTAATGAGCCCATTTCCATGCTTTTGGAATTTTTTCACGGTGTACAAAGTAACCTTCTACAACCATGAAGAATCCATTAGCGAAAGCAACTAGTGTAAGTGCGGCAACAAAAATAGGAATAACAGCCGAAATAAAAACGACCATTGATTCAGCCACAATAAGAGCAAGGAAAAGGTAGAAACAAAAGAGAAGAGCATTACTAAAATCGTTATGTAAACCAATCATTGGGTAAGCTACAACACTAAATGAAGCAGCAATTATCATTACAAATGGAATAGAGATTATTGTATTTGCCAATACATAAGGACCAACAGAATAAAAATTATTTCCACGTTCACGTGTAAATACTAAACGTTCTTCCAAGAAACCAGGTATACCGGCAACACTCATAAAAGCGAGAAAAGCAACGGAAAAGAAATGTGCAGAGAAACGATCATTAATGTTTTCTTGGTTATAACCAACTTGCCACCAAGTAGTACCCATTAATATAGCTAAACAAACGTACATAGCTACACGAACCCAAAACATTAAAACGTTGCGCATAGAATTCTTGAAAGATCGTACAGTTAAATAATAAGTTTGATCAATAAAGCCACGAGCGTAAGTACCAGTTTGACGAGAGGAAAATCTATTCATCATAGAAGCCTTAGTGATACCACGAATTTCTGATAAAGTACTAGATTTTGCTTTTGATTGATCATAAGATTTGATAAAAGTATCAATATGTCTTTCAGCTTGAGATTTATCTAACATAAAATCCGAGTTGACCAAACGAAGGAAGTGATCGGCAGGATTTGAATACGGAGGGCATACATGACCCAAACCTTCAAAATAAGAAGTAGCCTTTTCACGATCTCCAAAATATAAAGTGTTACCACGAGCAATTAAGCATAATTTATCGAATAAAGCATAAGTTTCAGTTGAAGGTTGATGAATACTAGCAATGACAGTTAATTTATGTTTTCTAGCCATTTCGACAATAGATTTCATAACATTATAAGCAGCAGCAGAATCAAGACCGGTAGTTGGTTCATCCAAAAATATTATCTTTGGTAAGGTTATAACTTGAGAAGCGATTGAAGCACGTCGTTTTTCACCACCTGATACACCACGTACGAAAACTGTACCAATTTTATTGTCGGCAACTCTGTCTAAACCGAATTCTTCGATAATTTGTTGTACACGATAACTTTTTTCTGCTTGATCCACATATGGAGGAAAACTTTATGCAAAAAATATATTATTATTATTATTATTGTTAACATAATGTTTATGTGCATTATCATAATATAAAAGAACTTACCATAAATCAGCAGCAAATTGAATATTTTCTCGTACAGTTAATACACCTAAGATAATTAATTAATAGATATAGATAATAAAAGTTAACCTTTATATATAAATCAACTTTAAAAAAAATGTTATTAATTACAAATTTAAATACCCATCAGCGCATCATCTTGCATAACATATTGTGAAACATATTTGACTTCACCCGGTACTCCATTAAGCAAAATTTGACCAGATACCATTTTTGAATCTTTTCGTCCTGCTAATAGATCCAACAGGGTTGATTTACCCGCACCAGATGGACCCATTACTGTTAAAAGAAACATGTTATCAGAGATACTTTCTCATGGTGTGAGTAAAGAGCGAACTAAAAATAATCACTTACTGGCCATAACTTCACCAGGTTGAACAACACCAGAACAACCAGATACTATATGCTGTTTTTTTTTCGTTTTTGAATTGACTATTGTATATCCTACACTTTTCCAAGCAAGACTAATCCCATTAGGAAATTCATCTTTATACTCTAAATATAAGAATATTCGTTTAGCATAAAAGAAGAAATCGTTTAGTATAAAAGTAATTAAGATTTTGTAAGTTAAAATATACCTTCCATCTGCAATTTAATATCTGGTGTGTATCTTAAATCACTTCTATAACTAGTTCGAACTGAATCGCTGTAAACAGTTTCTGTGTAGGCAGTTTCTGTGTAGGCAGTTTCTGTATAGGCAGGGTTACCATAGGTAGATTGCCTAATTTGTGTTAATGGATCATTATCATAAGTTGGTTCCATCATCTGAACCATCTGAGCGGGAAGCATCTTGAAGGAATTGAATTATGGTAAATAATAATAACAATAATCTATGTTGGTGCCTAAACTTCTAGTGATGAACTTTTTCTAAATTTAGCGTTGAATTTTTTTTCTTAATTTTTTTTTTCAATTTAAGTTATGATAAGTAAAAAAATTCAAGTCACTCAGTTTTTATGACACGCATAACAGTTAAAATTACAACTTTGTGAAAATTTTATAATTTTTTTCGCTTAAATCCTTTAGTAATACAATAAATGAATTATATATAACGTAAAATAAATTCACGTGTGATTATCCAAAATTAATGAATATATACTTTTTTAAGATTAGGGTATACTAAATAAAGATATCAAATAAAAAGGTTTTTCAGATTAGGATATACCAAATAAAGACATCAAATAAAAAAGATTTGCTAAAAGAATATCAATCATTCGAAGGTACAAAATGTTTATTAATAAAAAATGCAATTGTAACCGTGGTGAGAATAACTAGATTTCATTTGATGTTAGATTAGTAATTGGAATAAGTTATAACATATATTAAAATTGTGCAAGAAACTTTTTTTTCATTAAGAGTAAGAAAGTTATTATAATTATTTGGGTTTAAAATTGTTAAGATCATTGGTTTGTTAATAGTTAAAAGTCATGCTTGTAATCAAAATTTTTTCGGCTTTCGTTTAAAAGAATGAATTGTGGTATACATCGTAATTAGCCTCGAATAAAACCGAAACAATTTCGGCAACATGCAATTGTTATTAATAATATTTACTTATATTAGCAAAATTCACAATTTTCGGTTAGAATATTTTATATTGTACGTACATACTGGATTTTCAGATCTACACCATAATTCATATAACGATCATAAATGAATTTCCATACAAATATTACTACAGGTATTGGTAAGTTTGAATTTATGCTTATCAGGGGTGTTATACTGAAAGATCTGCTAAAAGAAATCACATGTAAGCTTTTTATATTTTTGGATCGTCCAATAATCGTTATACCAATTGTTTCGTCATAAGAGATCAGAGATTTTAATCATTTTATGAAATTCAAAATTTATGTTACGAACATTAGTAAAATTTATACTTATATTTTAAATTAGAATTATTATACAATTTAAAAACATATTGTATTACAAAATGTGCAAACTAAGTGTTAATTATTTATTTTATATGAAGAAAATAAATTTTATGTGTGCGTTAACTTATTTTGAAAATAAGTGGGAGTTTGAAAAGTCCTATTTTCTTTTTGAAATTTCGAAATCAGAAAATGAAAAAGGAGTTATCCAGAGATAAAATAAACAATTTTTATTAATTGTGGTATTATATCTTATTATATAAATAGGCTTACAAATAAAAATAAATAGGATTTATAGATCGCTGATTACAAAATTA